TATATATATATATATATATATATATACACACACACACACACATATGTATGAAAGTAGAAATGGAATATTATTGATGATAACATGCATGATTAAGCCATTATGCAGTTTATTCTAGATGGGAAACCACATTTAGTATGTTGTGATGATGTTCAGGGAATGAATGTTAAGTAATTAAAAAAAAGTTGCAGGAAAAAAAAAACAGTAAAACTGTTCGTATCGAAACATATTTGATGACTGCAGTAAGCTATATAGCCCCAGCTGGGTACTACTTTATAATATGTTCATTCTACTCACTCAGGTTTATGCCTAAAGTCAGACTTGGATTCATGTATAGGTATATATCAGCTGTGCTAGCTACTGGATATATTTACACTAATTAAGTTCATTAGCAAATCAATTAAATGGGGGGAAAAGGCATAGAAAGCAACCATGGATACTAGAGACAATGTGGGAGGAGGGTGGGACATGACAGAGGGTGAGGGATAGGGAATCAAGGATGGCAAAACTAAAAACAAAGTATACAAGACATAAGAATTGGAAAATTATTTGCTGATAACATGTATGTTGATGTGCTTTATTGAGCCAATACACAGTGTATTTTGGATGAAAAAAAAAAGAACTATGACATGTGAGCAAAAAAATTTTGATATGTAAAGTGTGGGAAAATGTAATAAATTAATTAATTAAATTAAGAAAAAAAGACAAGGAAAAAAATAATCTATTGTGTAAGTGCCCCAGAAATGATTTAACTATTCATTTATTGTTGAACATTTAGGGTATATAGGTTATTTATTATCTTAAATAACATTGTGACAAACATTTTCGTGCAAGTTGTTTGCCTATATTGTAGATTATTTCTTTAAAATTCTTTCCTAGGAGATAAATCTTCTTGTTACAAGACAAGACTCCTTTTGAAAATGTTCCAGAGTTCTCTGTTCTGTTTCCCTTGAATTATCTGTGAATCATTCACACTTGTTGGTTTGTGACCTTTTCTTCTTCTCTGGTAACCTCAGGGTAAATAATTCCCAATTTCACCCTCCTGTTCTCCATGTTGGTGGTTGGTATTCTTGCTCTTATTCTAGGGACCACCAACATCTATACCTTTGTCTTATTAAATACATCAGGTTCCAGACAAGGAATAAAAGCAGATTGTTATTGTTACTGTTATTCTTTTTCTTCCTCCTCCCCTTTCTTCTCATGCTTACTTTATTAAGGAGAGAAAGGAAACTCTTTAAGTAAATGAACAAGATATATGATATTTGTCATATATTGTGGGAAGTAAATGGGGAAAAATACTAAAAAGAAGGAAAGGAGAGAGTGTGAGAAAGATGGAAAGCAAGAAAAAGAAAAGGGAAAAGAGAAAGAAATACAAAGAGACCAGAATCAACATTTTAGGGAAGGAAGAGAAATTAGAGAATGAGAGAGAAAAAATAGAAGGAAAAGAAATCTCACTATAATAAAATACATATTTCATTATTTTGATTAAAATTTTGTCTGACAAACTCTCAGAGATTTAAAAAAGCTATTATTATTCCATAAATTTTGTGTTTCATTTTGCTTTAATCTAGGGTAAATCTACCTATATTTCTGTGTTCCTCTGGGGACATAATTTTCATACTTCTCAATAGCTTAATTACCCTTTTTGGGGGTAGGGTTCAGTTTGCCAGTATCCTTATTAAAATGCAGAGCTCTGAGTTGGGCAGGGAACTCTATAGAATGTTCAAGGTATAGACTAATGAACAAAGTACACAACAGGAATGTTGTTTGCTATACTTGGTGTGCGAAACTTCTCTTCATTCTCACTCTGTCTTAAAAATTTATAGCAGTAGTTAAAAACTTTTTTTTAAGAGAGATTTTTGCTATATTGCACATGTGCTCACCCAAGAGACAGAGTAAGAAAGACAGAAATTGAGAAGTCACCCCCTGGGGAGATGGCCACGCCACAATCCCTTCTCCTCCAATCTTTTCTCAGGATTTTGGGCACACATGCACATGCATGCAGCATGAGTTTTAAGCTGCTGGGTACAGGACTCGAACTGTGGTTGACTGCATGGGAGTCCAGCAATGTAACCATTATGCCATCTTCTGGTCCCTCGAAAAAATTTTAATCTTAGATCTTTCCACCAACTTTTTAAAAAAAATGTTTATTTTTTTCTTCTGCACAGGAGGAAAATAAAGAAGAGTCACCCCCAACAGGATCTTCGTACAATAATCAACCCCTGGCTTCGGCCAGCCAGGATCATGGGCATCTGCACACTAGAATGTACAGGAATACTTTGGTTCAAGAACTCAGGACCTTCCCATGTGACGTCAGCATCATGGGGTACTGTGTAACTGCTGTGCCACCACAGCTGACCTCTTAAAAATGAGTCGATTTTGTTTATGTAGCTTACATCTGTTGATATTTACCACCTATGGGATGTGCATTATATATTGACATTTCCCTCCACATTGTCTTCTCCTGGGCACAGTTTCTGGCCAAGGCTGACCCCATAGGAATGTGACTTTGTCCTTTCTCTAAATAGTGAACAAAGTCCACTGGTCCAGTTCTAGAGGAATATGAACATCTCTCAAATAGACATTGTAAGGCCCAGGCAGTCATGCTTAAAGAGCACACTTTGTTGATTCCGTTAGTGGCTAAATAGTCTTTATTGTAATCATTATAAATGAAACATCAGATCTAGGCACCAGGAGCCAAAAATTCTATCTGACCCTCACAATGATTAATGTGATTGCTTCAATCTAACTGTATTTAACTAATTGTTGTACTGGATTACTTCAATCTAACTGTATTTAACTAATTATTTTACTACCTTGGACACAGATTTTTCACTAACTGGCTGCCACTGTGTGGCCTGTAAGTTGAATAACTCTTATCTCTCTGCTGGACTTCCAGGTGACTTCTCTGGAATAAGTAAACAGTACACATAAGCCCTCTCAGATTTGGAACTCCTGCAGTACACCGCATAAATAATTAAAACACAAAATTTAAAAAGATTGGTTTCAGTTAATTTAAAAATAACAAAACATAAACCTATTACATATTAATATTGTTAACATATTAATTATTAGCAGTTTTACAAACCCCCCAAAATACTGAGAAATGACATTGTTTTACTTTTTTTTTTAGCATATCTCTTCAACTTCTGACTTAATACAAGACAGCTTGATTCTTCTGATCCTGCATTTAATGTGTTGCCATGTGCTGTTTAATGAAGTATGTGGATAAAATCAAGCTTCGCTCGAAGGCATAGTTGGTAAAAGGGGGGACTATTTTAATGGCTTTTTCAGATAGATGTGGATACTCTTCTTCGATATTACACTGAAGCTTGGCAAGTAGGAGTTTCTGAAAGATTTACTGCAGTGTGAACTCTGGAGCCATATCAATGAACTTTTTGTACTTTATTGCACATAGATCCACTGATCTAACTTACACTTCGAATGGATCTGTTATCCCTACATGATTCTGTAACATTAGGCATTAGACACTGGGAAAATATTCATTTACGGAGCTATGTAGATCTTTCAAATATTGACACATTTCATTCTACAGCACAAAAAATTATGTTGATTAACATTATCATCAGCCTCATTCAGAAACTTTGAGGTATTGGGAAGCTGACAAGTTCATGGTGTTAGATCTGTTTTCCAAAAATTCAAAAGCCTGAATTAGATTGCCGGCAACATCTATCAATAGTGATTGTCCTTGAAGTGGCAGATCATTTCTAGGAAAATGTCTGCCCAATGCCTACATCTGAATAGCCATTGTTTGCCTGTCAGTCATTCTCTTAAGTAAAAATAGGATAGGGATTTAACTTCGTAACAATATTCTTGCTTAATAAATATGTTCTTAAGTGGGACTGACATTGTCCCCCAAGCAGAGTGAAGTGGGAAAGAACACAGGAATGACTTGTTTTGGTGGACACCCGTGTTTTGAGTCACACTAAAGCACCAGTGGTTTTACCTGTCACTACTTTGGCACCATCAGTATAAGTGTCAACACAGTGAAAAAGACAAAGTAGTGGGAACCAGCAGTTAGCGGAATGGCTATGTCGCTGGACTCCCACGTAGTCGACCGCGGTTCGTGTCCTGGACCCGGTGGCTTAAAACTCACGCCGGGTGCGTGTGCGTGCGTGCCCAAGATCCCGAGAGGAGAATGGAGGAGAAGGGATTGCAGCGTGACCATCCCCCCTGGGGGGTGATTTCTCGCTTTCTGTCTCTATGTCTCTCTCTGTCTGGCGAGCGCACGCGCCCTACAGTGAAAATCTCTCAAAAAAAAAAAAAAGACAAAGTAGTATTGTTTTGAAGATAGTTTTGACTTAGGAAATCTTGAAAGGATCTCCTAAAAGGATCTCAAGGCCCTTGGACCACACCATGAGAATTACTGGTTTCAGGATGCCAACTGGTCACATTGGTTACATTGAATCTTGCACTGATCTTATCGTTGATAACAGGTTGTGGGCTTCAGAGAGAGAACACTAACAGCAGCAGGAACTAAAAAGTCTTAGGTGCTGTGCCAAGCGTGTTTCATGCACAATCTCACAGGAAGTTCCGCTTTATCCCCACTTTCGGACAAGGAAACTGAGGATCAGAGAGGTGAGTTCACATGGCTAAGATCACACAGCTGGTAAGTAGCACAGCAGGTCAGAAATTCCTGGCAGTCTGACCCCAGAGCCCATATTCCGAGCAGCTCTGTTATTGCTGGAGAGGCTAACAGGATGGGCGAAGTGAAAAAAACAAAAAAAGCAAAAAAATAAAAAACCAGCATGACAGAGGGGCAGGAGGTCAAAGCAGGTCTAAAAATTTTGGACCCAAGGATCTAAGTAGCAAATCAAAGGTTTCCCCCAAATCTGTTTTCCCGTCCAAGTCTCCCAAAGATCCTCAGAGACAACTAGTTAGCAACCTTATTTCCATTTTGTAAATAAGGAAACTGATACCACTTAGCAGACAAGCATCCACTGGTGTCCCCAGAGCCTTGTACTGAAGGGTTCCACCTTCTCACCCAATGCCAAGGACTGAAGGCCTTTCTTGGCAGAGGAGGGGTGTCACACTGTCACATGCCATAGAGAGGAACTTGGCAAAACAGGCAGTGGCGTCAAAAGAGAGAGCGGAAGGGCGGGCCTATTATCCCTGGTGCCATACAGGAACAGTGATAGCGGTCCAGGCACTGGTCGGGCCAGTAGTGAGACTCCTTCTTGCCTGGGGAATCTGTGACTGAGTTTCGAAGCTGTCCCAGAATTGCATTCTGGGGTTGCAATTTCACAGTAAACTGGAAACAGTTTATCTACCACAGCAAAGTCCTGAAGAATGGTGATGGGGGTGTGGTGGCAGGAGGTGAGAACAGCCCAGAAAAGCACGGTGAAGCCTAGGAAGCTACCACAATGATGTTTGAAGGAACAGAGGCAGGTGGGCTCAAATGCACTGTAGATACCTTTCTCCGTGGAAGGAGAGTGTTAGAGGGGAGGCACTTGCCACATGTCATGCAGCTCGTAAAGCAAAATGCCGAACATCGTGCTGAGGCTTGATTCACAGCACTCTCAGGAAAGAGACCGTGTTTAGATAAATCAAAGCCAGGTGGCCTGGAGCCTCCCTTCTGATTTGCCAGCAAAGGGCAGTTCAACTGGCAGGGAGGGCTGTTCCTCGAGGAGAAGCGCAAGCTCTGGGAACATGTGCCTCTTTCATAAACTTCTTGTGAATGAGGTCAGAGAACCTGCATGGAATCTCTGTGGTTTCTCAGGACCCCCTCCTGAAGCCTGTGCTTATGTTCCTTTTGCATTCACTCTGGTGTTTAAATTCCAAGTGGGGTTTATATTCAATTTAATCTGAGATTCTTTCCTTTCCAATGAGTCGCTCTTGCCTTTGTTCTTTTGTTTATATTCCCCAGACAATTGACAGTTCCTGAAAGTTCCAAGCCTCCTGGATGCGGAAGAGGGGAAATTTCAGGACAGTTCCTAAACATCCAGGTCTTCAAAGCACATTCAAGGCCAAAGAACAGCTTCCACAATAAAGGGAAAATTTACAAGTCAGGATCTGCTGGAGCAGAGAGGCCTGTTCTGTATCTCTTTTGCCCAGGGCAGCACCCACAGCGGTCTTCCACATGAGGCACTGTGGAGGGGCAAGTTTTCAGAATTAGGGAGACATTACTTGTTCCTTCAGTTTCTTTCCTGGTCAACGAGCTGAGTTCTGGATTTTAACAAGGAATTAATTATTTGATTTTGAATTATGTGCCTCAGGGCAAAAGAGAATGTTATATTATAGGACTTTTTTTTTTTTTTCTATTGGCTGTGTGTGCACTCATAGGAGAAAGACAGAAAGAGAGGAAAAGTAAGAAAGCACTCCCCAGTGGGGTGAGCCATGTTGCAATCCTCTTTTCCCATTCTTCTCTTGGAATTTTGGTCTTGTACACATGTGCCCAGAATGCCCCCTGACAGGGTGCTTGCACTCTCTGGAGAGAGACTGTGAGACAGAAAGTGAGAAATCACCCTCGGAGGGGAGGGAGGGGGTGGCTACGCTACAATCCCTTCTCCTCCACTTTCCTGTTGGGATCTTGGGCATGCATGCACACATGCCTGAGTGATTTTCAAGCTGTCAGGTTCAGGACTTGCAGTCGGCTGTGTGGAGTTCAGTGTCTGAACCATCAAACTGCCTGCTACCCCCTGCCCCCACTCCAGAATGTTCCTCAGGCTGCCAATCTAAGACTTGTACCATGCTGTGGGCAGTGTGGAATTCAGCCACCTCAACCTCCCCACCATCTGCCATACCAGGGCTTCTTCTCTTGCCTATAAATACTTATTAAGAATTTTCTATGTTCAAGGCTCTGTCATAAAGGCTGGGGATCTGGCAAGGAACAAAGCAAATCCATTCCTTGCACTGGTGGATTTGACATTTCTCTGGGGGAGTAGACAATATGCAATGTCATGGGGTGTGGGGCCATGTGTGAAGTGAGTGCTGGCTTATAGAGTGATGGAATTGTCATGTTAGACTGGCTACAGGAACACAGGTTGGAGTTAGGGGTAGGATTAGCAGTAGGGATCTGAGTAGGTACTATTTCTAAGGAAAATGAAGTGAGAGAGGGGACCCTGAAGCCATCTGGGAGATGACAACTCTAATTGTCAGAATGGTCACCCCTAAAGTGGAGGTGGAGTCTTTCTCCCAACCATGCATCTTATGGAACCAACTTAATCCTAGTTCCAGATGATGGGTTCCTCTACATTCTTTATTTATTTTTTTCCCTTTTATTTATATTTTTTCAGAGACAAGACACTTCTCTTTCACAACCGTCCTGCCTCAGCTTCCCAACTGGGACTACAGGTATGCACCACCGTGCCTGGCTCTTTTAGTCAGGGTCTCCCTTAGGTTGCCCAGGCCAGCCTCAAGCTCCAGATAATCTTACCTCAGCTAGAGATTATAGATGCATACCACCATGCCTGGCTTTTAGATTGGACTAAGAATTGAACCAGGGCCTCGGCCGTGGAGTACAGTATCTTAGCAGAATATGCCACGATGGCTGGTCTCTCCACATCCTTGAACACTATTCTTAGATCCCAACTAAATCTTGTCCTAGCAAGTCTGACTATTATTTCAGCCTAAAGTCATCTCTCAGAATAAATTCACCTTAAAACACAAAAACAAAACAAAACAAACAAAACCATCCCTTTTGAATCTGGGGTCAGTTGAATAAGTCTTTTGTCTCTTCTTCTGCCATTTTTGATCCTTACAAGATTCCAGAGCTTTCGATTCGGAAGTGGCTTCTGCAGTCAGATGGCCCAATCCCCCATTTTTGAAATGGAGGAAGCAAAGCCCAGGTATTGCTTATAACTGGTTACAGAGCTGGTTAAAGACATAGCAGGTGGGGCTCATGTCCAGGTATCCCCTGCTTTAGTGCTCTTTCTCCTTCCCCACTCACCACACTACAGACCACCTTTAATCCACATTCAGTATATATATACTGGGGAAATAACAATAACGGCTCATGTTTCCCCAGAACTTGGGTTTGTTCTTGCAATGTTGTTCTGTTCTTCTCTGAGGACATTTTCTGAGAAGGGAAACTCTCTGTAGGCTTTTTTTTTTTTCCTTTTTGACTAAATATTATCTTTTGTTGTACGCCAGGCCCTGTGCTAATGATTTTACACTCAGTATTTCATTTAACCCTTGCAATTTCTTTGTGAGACATTCTAACAGCTATTCTTATCAAAAGACTGGGGATTTCAAATGCAGGGAGGCTGAGGAACTTACCCAAGATCATACAACTAAAGAATGGTAGAGCTGGAATAAGAACCCAGAATCTGTAGTCTTACCTCCTAAGCTAGACTGTTCTCCATTTCTAGTATTGTTCCCAGGCAGGATAGAGTGCTCTTTTTTTTTTTTTTTTTTTTTTTGTGGGTTTTTTTTTTTTTTGTTATGGGGCCCGGGCCCTTCGCCCCCGCCAGAAGGACAGAGAGACAGAAAATCAGAGAGACAGAAAGCGAGAAATCACCCACCGGGGGGATGGCCACTCCACAATTCCTCTTCTCCGTTCTCCTCTTGGGATCTTGGGCACGCACGCACACGTGCCCGGCGTGAGTTTTAAGCCACCGGGTCCAGGACGCGAACCGCGGTCGACTACATGGGTGTCCAGTGACATAGCCATTACACTAACTGCTGGTCCCAGGATAGAGTTCTCTTTTGGGGACATCTGTTTCTTCGTATTCTTGGAGCCCCTATCTCTTCAGTTATTTTGGTTACCTTTCCTCACTTTTGTTATCATAGCAGATGGGTCATGCAAGCAGTTTACTGTCCTCTCATCTATTTCTGGGAAGTTCCTTATATGTAGGTAGGCATGCTTAGCATCATTTAACCTTGGCATCCTGACAGCAGGTGATACAATATGGAGTGACAGCTATACCCAAAGGCTGTTATCTATAGCTGGTCAGCAACCTGTGGGATGCAAATCTCTTTCTGTCCAACAGGAGCACTGTTATCTGACTGGTGACGGGCTGAACCAATCAGGCCCTTTCTCTCAGAGTGCAGTGAGGTAGCAATAAGGCATAAGCTGGTGTCATAATCAGAGGATGCAACACCAGACACCCAAAATGCCTGTGGACACATAAGATAATCTAGTCATGAAGAGTAGAAAACATTCATTGACTGAACAATATTCTGTCCTCCATGAGATTTGACTCTGCAGTTCAGATGCTTTCTTCTTTCTATCTTGGTGAATTCTTAAAAGTAAGTGAGTAACTAAATGGGTTTCCATTTGTGCTTCCTGGGAGAGGCAAACCAACTCTCTTCACTTTGTCTCTCTTCAGGTGCAGAGATTGGCGCAGCAGCTCACCCTCCAGCACTGAGCATCCATGTTGGGCAGAACTTCCATGGTCACCCATTTCATTGGCTCTTGGCTAGACCTTAGAATAGTTTCCCGAAGGAAGACCTAGGAACAATCTGGGAAGATACCTGAGGCCTACCTCAAACTTGCAGGGTCAGAGTTTCTGTGGCTGGTGCCTGAGACATCTTACCCATACTTCCCAGGTGAATTTATCCCCAAGTGATTTTTATGGATCTTAAAGTTTGGAAACAATGTCCATGGAGAGATGTGTTAGATTCTCATTCTGGTTCCTATCAGATGTGTGAAGCATGCATAATATGAAGAGTGAGAAGTCTGAGGCCTTGTCCAGTGAGTATTCCCTTTTTTGGAGGAGGTTAGAGGTTAAGTTTTGGGCCACAGCATCCAACATATCCTGATCTGGTCTACAAACCGGTTATACCTTATTTGGCAAAATGCCATCCATGAACTGAACCTGCAAATTTTACAAGTATTTTTTTTTTAAAAAAGTTTTGTCAATTCTTCTTCTTTTTCAGAATTATTTATTTAATTTAATTTGTTTTTAATTTGAGGAGAGAGAGAGGAGAGAGAGAGAGAGAGAGAGAGAGAGAGAGAGAGAGAGAGAAAGTGAGAAAGCAAGCTGCCAGGTCTGGGATTTGAACTATGGTCAGCCATGTGGGAGTTTAGTGCCCCAACCAGCCCACCTCTTTAATGGTGAGGTTTCACACACACATAAATATGATTTCCAGCTTTTCTTGAAAATTTTGGAGCTTTAGTAGCACTAGGCCTTCTGCTTTGCAACAATCAACTGTTGTTGAATAGCGGATGCGATTTCTCATTGGGGCTTCACTGCCCCATATACTCAGGGCCCCTTTCTTCTGATGTTCTTTCCAAGTTTGAGGTTGTTAATGGTTCCAAAAAAAGGAGAGTGGATTTCTTTGTGGATATGGAGAATATTACTTCATGTTTAATAGGGCAACTCTACATATTGAGGAACAACTCAAGTATTTCACCATACTCATGTCTGATGCACAGTTGATCCTAAAGGCATTTGAATTGGGATTCTGGACACTCCCAGATCCCTCCAAGGGGCTGTAATTGAGAGCTGAGAGTAGACGTAACCAAGAAAACATTAGAATCCAATTGTGGAGTACATATCCTTCTTGCACAGGTGGAGAAATTGTAGCCCCAGAAAGAGGAAGAGTCCTTTTAGAAGTCACCCTGGAAGTGAGGCATGGCCAGGGTGACAGCATAGTTCCCACTCCCAGAGCAGGGTTTTTCTCAGTACCTCAAGTAACCATCCCTATTCTTTATCTATAACTAGCACAATCTGCTTCAAAGTTTTCTTTCTCTTGGCCACTTCATATTTTTGGGGGTGTTTACTATATTCCAAGTTCCTTTCTAACTAAAACGTTTTATCAACATTACATGATTTAATTATTGTCCCTACTTAATAGCAGAAATTGAGGTTGATGTAATCACTTTGCTGCTTAATAAAAAAGAAGGAATTTGGATCCAGATCTGAGAGTAGTTAAAGCCTGTAGACTTCCCATCTTGCTATATAATACTGAGCAAACCTGGGAGGGAGGTACCATGCTCTTCTCATTTTATGGACGAGGAAAGCAAGTAAGTAGATTGCCCAGGACCACACAGCTGGTAACTGACATAGTTCAGGACTAAGATCCAGGGCCGTCTCCAGGGCTGGTGCTCATAACTGGGGCCTCCTTTGCTACTCTTCTGCCTGTCAGGTATCCACTGGAAACCTTGTGACAACTCATTTCTATTGCTTTGTGTGGAATCACACTGTAGACCTCAGTGTGGATATGTAAACTTGGGTGTGTCAGAGGGATTGTGGCACACCAGGTACTCTCGTATGGTTTTGTGACAGTGCAGCATTGTGTGCCCTCACATTGAGCAGTAACCAGATCCTAGACCATCAGGTGAAGTGATACCCACAAACGGAGCATCTGTGTCTGCAGACAAGGCAGGCCTACTCCAGCGCCACACAGTGAGTGCTAACTCTCAAAAAACTAGGACCAAAGCGCTAGAGCCCAACTGGACTGCAGGGTTCTGACTTTTTCTGAACCACTCATTCTATTTCTAGCATATGAGGGGAATGTAATTTAAGTATTTTGGTGCAAAATTTAAAACCCAAGCGTAGTTTTGTTTTGTCCTCCCCCCCACCACTACAACTTTCCACACACTTTTTGAAGACACTCTCAGGGTTAGTTACCTCCTATTCAAATTAAAGCAGTAAGATGCTGTGAAAAGCTTTATCTTACTTTGTGAAAGATAAGGTAGTGACTTCTCATTCCTCAGAATCCCAGCACCCCAGGAACAAAGAACAGTATCTGTGGTTTTTACAACATGCTCCAAAGATTCCTGAAGTTTCCTATTAGGCACTTAGGATATTTAAAAAATAGTAACGTCTTTGTCACTAAGCATAAAGATTCAAACTGATTGAAACATGTTAATCATTTATTTTATATATATATGTCTCTGTGTGTGTGTGTGTGTGTGTGTGTATGTGTGTGTGTATTAGGGTTTAAAGAAAGTTCTACTTTTTTAAAAAGATGAAAAAATCTCTTTTTCTAAAGTGTCATGGATCACAGAGTCACAAAGCACATCTGCACAACGGTAGGGAAGACTCATGGATTGGAATTCAAATATCCCCGTAAAGTGGAGGAATCAAATTCTTACCTTGGGCTAAGTACACACCTTGCTGAAAGATCACCCTGCCTTCCCAAGTATCCCCACCTCAACTGGCTGGGACAATGGCAATGCTTCTCCTGTCCCTGCTGGGCATGCTTTGACTTGCCTGTCTTTGCAATGCAGGCTCTGGAATACCCAGCTATCCCTTGGCAGAAGGTGCTGAGCATGCTGGTGGCATTGATTAACACTGAGGCTTGCTTGTAGGATCTCTACATCTCTACTTTGGACTCCAGAGCCCAGAGGTCTGGCCTTGGGGACCTAGGGGCAAAGGTTCGGGGGCTGGGGTGAAGGTATCTGGAAACAACTGTGATGATATTCCTTCTCTTTGAGTACAAGGAATTAGAAAGGTACGTTCACACTGGAACAAACTTGAGAAAAGCAAACAGATGAAGTAGATGTACACTCAGGCCTGTTCTGTGTCTCTCCAGCAAGGGCAGTTGGGCGTGTGTGTGTGTGTGTGTGTGTGTGTGTGTGTGCATACACACACAGACTTAGATTCAGACTTAGTTCAGTTCAATTGTAGTTTTTAGTAAAGTGGTTGAGCTAGTCAGGTCAGATAGCCTGCTCCTCTGTCTCAAGTTAGCCTTGCTACATCTCTTGCTTGTCTTCCTCCACAGCAGGAAATAATCAGCCCAACAGCTAAACCTGGGCTCACAGGCCAGCTACCCCACTCTGGACCCCCTCTCAGGACTTATCTCCTCACTGCCTTCAAGGTCAGATTCCACACTTTAGCACTAGAGCTATCAAAAACACAGGGCGGGAGGGCATCAGGTCATCCACCACAAGCCCATCTTTTTGCACATGGGAGAGGTTGGGCCTAACATCTCAGGAGGAGGCTACCCTGTCTTCCAAATGGACACCCAGGATTCCTGCTTGAGCTGGAAGCCCGTCTTACATCAGATTTAAGCCCTTGGGCTGTACCAGACCCACAGACAGACATTTATTTGGTCCATACATGAACATCACAATATTATTTTGTAATTTGAATTTAGAGTCAACATTTTAAGAAAGAAAAATTTATTTTCCAAAAGTCTAGATTTCCAATTATTCTTAAAAACTTGCAAGATGTGGCAACCTGGATCCCCACTCCCATGTGCCAGTAATTTGTTGAAGACGACTAGCCCTGGTTCCTTTTAGGGGAGGAATTTGCTTTTTTTTTTCTCTTTCTAGTTGAACCCTATAGGCATTTTTAAAAAAAGAATTATTTAATTTAATTTTATTTCTTACTGTTATTGTTAGTTTTAATATGGCCAAAGAGAGACAGAGAGAGGGAAAGTGAAAGTGAGAAAGCCAGCTGCCAAGTCTGGGACTTGAGCCACAGTCACCCATGTGGGAATCCTGCACCTTAACCAACACACCACCTGCTAGCTACCCCCCATAGGTATTTGTATTTGCAACCTCTGTCTGAAATAAAAAACATGAAATATTATTAATAATCCTTGATGCATAATCAATGTTCTGCCACTAGCAGACATCATGCTAAGGACTTCACATATATATGCTGTTTAATTCTCACTAAAGAATATGAGAGAGCTATATTATCATTCCCATTTCACAGATGGGAAAGCAGAGGCTTGGGTGAGTTAGAGAGTTGCCCAGAGTCATACACATAAGAAGAGGCAGAACCAGGATTAGAAGTTAGATTTACCAGGGGTCGGCAGGTGGTGTAGTGGTTAAGGGCTCTGGACTCCCATATGGCTGACTATGGTTTGAGTCCTGGACCTGGTGGCTTGCTTTCTCGCTTTCTCTCTCTCTCTCTTTCTCTCATACACTTTGTCCCTCTCTGGTCAAATTAAAAATAAATGAATAAATAAGCAAATAAAATTAAATAAAATAGTTATATTTTTAAGAAAAGAAAGAAGTTATATTTACCCAACTGTAGGAACTATGTTGACTCCAAGGTCTAAGTAGACTTCTATAGTTATGAGCTCCACGGAAGTGACTGAAAATTTCTCTAGCTCTCGTCTACACTTCAGTCTCTGCTTCCAACAGACCGTGAGACTTTGACACTTTTAGGTCCATAAATATTTACCACATGAGAATTCAGAGTCCCAGCCAGATCAGACTTTGCATTACTCTCCTTTCCATCCTGCAAATCCCTTCTGTTCCTCCCTGCTCTCTCTGTTCATGATGCAACAATACCCCACTTCAATCAGCCGCTAGGCACTTCAGCTTCATCTCTGCCTCTCCCCTTCCCTGCTTAGTGCTTCAGATCTATGTACAATGATACACAGATATATACCCTGTACATACTTTTTCCATGTGCTTGTTTTCTGTCTCCCTTCCTCTTCAGAACCACTTTGTGAGACATTACTATTACTAATATTAAAGCATTGATCAGATCACATGATGGTCAGAACACTTCCCTCCTTGAAGTCCATCACTAACTTCTGCCTGAGGGATACTGGCCCCTTTCTTCTGTGGCCTTTGAGAGCCTCTATGATTGGGGAAATTTATCCAGGTGTAGCTTCCTATAATTCTATTTTAGACTTGCGACCCCTCAACCCCTTGGGAAGCTGAAGTATTCCCAATTTCTCAAATGTTCCCAGAGCTGTCTATGCCTGAACACTTGGCCTTTTTGTTTGGAATGTCCCACTATTCAGTCTTCCTTGTGGAATTTTACTTCACCTTTTAAGGTCTAGCTCAAATGCTACCTCTAGAAAGGGTTCTCTGAACAAAATTCCCCGTCTTACACCACTCTCATCTCTGCTTGCCCATCAGAAAAGCAAACCCTGATTATCTGACAACTCTTTATGGAATACCTGTTATGTGCCAAGCACTGGGGATACTGATTCATGCATTTTTTTCAACTTTTGGTAAATACTAAGTGCTTACTATGTGTAGCTCTTAACATAAGAGATATATAACACTCAGTGCCATCATCTAATATCAGGTACTAATAAGGGCAATGAAAAAAATGAAATGCAGCTGAGTCTGATTCACGAGGGGTGATAATAAACACACGAGGACTAAATGGGGCACACTGGGACCCATGACACCAAGGAACCCCTGCTCCAAAGCTGTATAAGCCAAGCTAGCCCAACCTAGGAGCAAAAGTTCATCAACAGTGGCTGGCAATTCCATGACTCCTCCTGCATCCTTACTCCTTCTTTGATGTTGATTGACACTGCGTCTACTGGACCTTCACCTCAGTTCTTTCCAAGAGTACACAGTCAGGAGGAAGATCTGCTCTCAGGGCATGCAGATCCAGGGACTCCCCATGGCTGTACCCTATATAGCCTCTTTCCTGGAGCCTTACTGTTGGGGGAGGAAATGCCAAGCCAGACCACTGGGCAGCTCCCGGCAGCATACTCATAGTAGAGTCTGCGAATGAGAGCCAGAGTGATTGCTCTGTTAGTAGGATTGCAAACTTCAGCTGAGATTAGTTTAAGTTGATCATTCTGTAGAAATCATGGGCAAAATGGCTGTCTCCTTGGTTCTCTCATTTTCTGAAGTCCTTCCCTGTGGAATGTCCTCCTCACTTTCTTCCAAGATGATGATGACGAGGATGATGGCAATGATGATAGCCTCTGTGAGAAACATTTGCAGAGGCTCTGTGCCAAGTACTATATGTGGCTTTTCTCATTTAATGCTCATGTCCACACTCTTTGAGATAGGTACTATTATTATCCCTATCCCTAACTCAGACTTAGAGGAGTTTTAAGAAATTTTACCCAAAGGCACACCAAGCACATGAAGCTGTCAGAATGCAAGCGCTGTCTGTTGCCAGACCTTAGAGTCCCTATGTTTAGTTGCACAATATCATAGCTTCCTATGCTATTAAAATTATATCTGACCCCAAGGCTTCATTCAAATACCACCTCTACTCTGAAGCATTCTTTGATTATCCTTTTCATCCTGGTACGTATCACATATAACTGACCTGAGCAGTAGTTGTCATTCAGCATTTATTTACATATCCCCTCAATAGCTGACCTTTGAATCCTTGTCTGGACTAGGCTCTTGGATGAATGATTCTGCCATTGCTCTTGGGAAGCTCCATGTCAGGGACTACAGGAACCTGACAGAGGCTCTTTGTGACATGTCTGGTTTGTTCATGTTTATGCCTCTTATTATAGCAGCAGCCACCATCACTTTCATGGGTCTTTTCCTACAGCCAGACCAGCAAAGCCATTAACAAATCAGGTCAGATACACAGAAATTCAGCAAGCTGCAAAATGAGCAGGTGGAGAAATAGCAGGGAGCTCCACCAGGCAAAGCAGTGCTGGAGGGAGATATTACATGTATAATTCTTGCTTGTCTTTTACAGAAATCTTGTGGAATTGAACTTCTGATTCCCCAAAGAGGAAGGAATACATCTGCCTAAGCTGTTCCCTGTATTGATCTGGTGTTAGGGTCCTTTTGCCAAGGGTTATGAAGTCTCCTTTCCCCAGGGCACTGCCATTCCAGTGCCTCCAGGACTAGCCTGGAACACAGAAGGAGCCACATTACACTGCGTTCTGTCACATTCCTGGACTTAGTCCAAGAGAAACTCTTGCTATTCCCACCCCATTCATCAAGTGACTAACTAAACAGTATTTTCTTAGCCATTTAGGATGTATTTAAAATGAGGAATGGGTTTAATAACTATCTAAGAGTGGTCTATTCACTTCATAAAAATTTTCTTTAAATCTTTGTAATACTTGTGGTATTATTATAAATACTACTCTTTTTAAATTATTTATTTAATTATAAGTTTTAATAATTATAAGTTTTCTTTAAATCTTTATAATATTTGTGGTGTTATTGTACTACTCTTGTTTAATTACTTATTTAATTTAACATATTTTTATTATTCTTCTTCAATTTGACCAGAGAGAAATAGAGAGAAAGAGAGAGAGTGAGAAAGCAAGCCACCAGGTCCAGGACTCAAACAATGGTCAGCCATGTGGGAGTCCAGCACCTTAACCACAATGCCACCTGTCAGCCTCTAAGTACTACTTTTATGAATAGCAACTTTATCATAATATGGTAAACATATTATATTTTATATAATATTTGACAAAGGACTAATTATCTAAATATTCATAGGCCTACCACCATTTTCTTTTTATAATTAAACATTTTTATTTCCTACTCAACTTCTTACTTTTGTGATAATTTTTCATGTAATTCCAAGGCTATTTCTTCTTCCTCAGCCTTTCTACTTTGAAAAGTCTTTTGAGAATCTTCAAAATGATAAACTAAGACCTACAGCAGCACTCCAAGGATATGAAACAATAAAGTGTGTAAATTTAAATTCCTATGAGAACATTTTGACACTAGGACTTGGTTAAAGAAAACAGGTTGTGATAGAAGTGAATGACAAACAAGTGAATATGAGTATGGACCAAAAAAGGGGATAGGTAGGAGTAAATCTGCTGAAAAAAGCCTCAGGAGAACAATTTAGAAAATGCAGTCCTTTGCCTGTTCTCTTCCTAAGAAAGGACTGACAGGTTCAAAGTAATTTACACTGGTGATGATGGTTCTCAGGTTTTAATGGAAAAAAGTGGACTTTGAGAATCACAGGGAATGTATACAATCTTTCAAACACACATACATGCATATACACACACACAAATTGGTATACAATTTTAGGATATTCAAGGGCCTCTTAAAATCCATCAGTAAACCCAAAGTTTGGCGTTCCCAAAGTGGTATGTGTAAGCAAGATGATTTTAGACAGTACATAGGCAAATAATGCTTTTAATTTTAATCCTGAGTATTTTAAATATATGCATTAAAATCATTGAAGATATCATTCCTGTGATCTTATAAATGTTTCTCCTTAGGAGGAAACTAAACTGAAAAACATTATGGTGAAACTTGACGTCATTTTTAGAGAAAGACTAAGTAAATGACGGGGTGGAGGGGTCTGTAGTAAAGACTGTGACCAAGTATCCCCTGATGTTTTGGATTCACCACTCTTGTCTATGAAAGCACTAATCTGATTTCATAGTCTCATTGGCAACTGAGGCCCTATGTGTTGAGGGACCTCCCTAAGATCTTCCAATAGTCAGAGACAGATTGCGGGGGGGGGGGGGAGGAAGACTCCAAGATAACAGATCTTTAAATCAGTGTTTTCTCCTATAACATCACCCATTTTTTCTTCTTTCTTTTTTTTTCTCCCTATTTTTAGTGTTTTTGCCAGAGGTTGTGTGCACTCACCAGAGAAAGACAGTGAAAAGCAAAGTGAGAAAACACCCCCAGGGGAATGTCCATGCCACAGTCCTTTTTCCTCCTTTCTCTTTCTGGGATTTTGGGCATGCATGGACAAGCCTCCAGGTCCAGGATTGAACCCTGGTCAGCTATGTAGGAGTCCAGTGTCATCTGCTGGCCCCAACAGCAATACTTTTATTACTTTCTACCTGTGTACCTGTGTAGCTTTAACCTACACCCTTAACCCCCCAAACAAACAAACAAACAAATAAAAAACAAAAAAACCCAGAGTCAATCTGCATTCTGAGAGCAGACAGAACTGGCAGTAACTTCATCTAGCCAGGCCACTGTCATTGTACAAGGACTTTTACAAATAGTTTCCTGCGACTCCACCACTGATATTTATAAATGGGGGAAAATGTTTCAAGATGCTTGTCATTCCTCCTACATTGTTAGAGATCTGTTAGAGATCTCAGGAAATGACTTGATGTTCTGCCCCGGGAGTTTATTCTATTTAGCTAGAATCATAAGAGAGAATCAATTTTGAGCGATGGGGCTTCTCTCAATGTTGGTTGACATTACACTTGCTGGTTTTTTTGCTATGTTCAAAACTAGTGGTATATAAATATAGAGAGTTTCTTTACATCCTCTGCATGGGTCAACCTGCTTGGGGAGTTCTGTGCTTGATTCTGAATGCCTCCCTTTCAGAAGGACACAGATATGGGGGGCTGTAGCTGGAAAGGTTGACTTCCAGAGAAGACTACGGTTCATAATGATCAGGAGAGCAATGGCTGAAAAAATTGAAGTGTTAACTGGCCTGCAGACGGAAGACTCTCTAAGACCACCATTTGCAGCTCTTTGGAGGGCTGTGGTGGTGCACAGCAGGGCAAGCACACTTGACTGCATGATTGAGAAGTCCTGGGCTACTGATAAAATAAGCCACCTCAGGCTTCAAGAACAAGGTGGACAGGGATCTGGGAAGGTAAGGAGGGAAGGCAGAAACTCCAGGGACTTGTCGTTATGCAGGGATGTAAGCTAACAGTGGCAATACATTTCAAAAACACTTGAAAACATTGTGTGGCTAAACAGAACATATCTGTGGGTTAGATCTGGGCAGTGGACTACCATTTTGTAATTTCTGCCTCTGCTGCTCATGAGGTTATTTTGGTATTTGCTGCTGCAGATCCAACACCTGAACTCAAGCAGACTCCTCTCTTCTTTGTGGGGCAATTCCTGTGACCTGGCCATGTGCTCAGGGTTCAGGATACACAGACTTAGGAGAGCATTTTCATCACAATCCCTTTCCTCCATTCTCGTCTTGGGAGAGGACATGCAAGACTCAGTGGCAAAAGTGGTGGGCTTCCCTCTAGGTTAAAGAGAATATCAGCCAATTCCAGGGAACCTGGACAGACAGTATCATAGCTGGAAGTACCAAATAAAGAGGCAGGTGATCTGAGCTCTCACACCACCTCTACAAGTCTGTAATTGTGTATCCCAGAACAAGTAACTTCCTTGAGTCTGTTTCCTGTCTTCTGAAATGAGAAATCAGATTAGACAAGGTTCTGTCATTTTGTGAAAGTCACTCCTTCTACCCTCTAACCCATCCCTACAGGACTTCTAAGTCCCTATACACAGTGTTCCTTTCTGTCACATTTCCACCAACCCTAAGTGCTCACTCTGCAGAGCAGCCTGGGTCAAGTTGCCTCTTCTATCCTACTCTAGAGCTCTCTTTGCTTTGAATCCTTTCCTACTTTCCCTCCTCATGTGACTATTCATCTACTTCTTCGTGCTCCTCGAGCAAGCCTCTCTTGACTCTAACCCAGGCTGATTCCTTAGAAACATGCACCATTCTGTCAGAATATGTACTATAGTTGAACTACTCATTTATTTGTGCAATCATCAGATTGACTTTGCACTGTTATTATCTTCTCAGTTTCTTCTAACCCTATTAGAATTTGCTGTTTATTTTATTTTAGTTTTGTTTTTAGTAATTCTGTGATAACCACTCAATAGGACCTAGAATAGTGGTTCCCATTTCTGCCCCATGCACTCAAAAAAACAATGTATCCTCATCATATATAGTTAGGAGTTTAAGAGCACAAATCTGGCCTTGTTTTCTCTTTCTGTTTGCCAGCTGTGTGACTCTTTGTACAAGCCACACTGAGGCTCAATTTTCTTATCTGTAACATAGTGTGATGGTTCATTTTATGTGGGAACTTGGCTAGGACACGGGGTGCCCAGACATTGAGTCAAACATTATTCTGGCTGTGTCTATGAAGGTGTTTTTGGATGAGATGAATATTTTGGCCTGTGAGACCAGCAGTTAGCGTAATGGCTATGTCGCTGGACTCCCACATAGTCAACTGCAGTTCGCGTCCCAGACCTGGTGGCTTAAACTCATGCCGGGCGCGTGTGCATGCGTGCCCAAGATCCCAAGAGGAGAATGGAAGAGGAGGGCTTGTGGAGGGGCCATCCCCCCTGGGGGGTGATTTCTCGCTTTCTATCTCTCTATCTCTGTTTGTCTGGCAAGAGCACATGCCCTATAGCAAAAACCTCTCAAAAGAAAAAAAAAATTTTTAGTCTGTAGACTGTGTAAAGAAGAGAGGCCTCCCTAATATGAGTAACCCTCATCTCATCCATATAAGGTCTAAACAGAAAAAGAAAAAAGAAATAAATAAAAAAGCTGACCTTCCCCCTAATACTAGGGAAACTAGGGAATTCCTCTACTCGACTACCTTTGAGCTAGAACATCAGTTCTCTTCTGCCTTCAGACTTGAATTGAAACACTGGCCTCCCTAGGTCTCAAGCCTGCCAGTTTTTGGACTGAAACTATATCATTAGTTCTCCCAGGTCTTCAGCTTGCTGACTGCTAGACTTGTCACCTTCACAACTGCATAAGTCAACTGCTTATAATAAATCTCTTCATATACATTTCTCTAGTGAACTCTGACTATTACACACTGGAGCAATAATAGCTGCCCCACAGGGTTCTTATGAGGAATAAGTGAGTTAAGTCATTTAGCTACTGTTGGGCATACAGCAATCAGAAATTATACAAATATGTTAAACTCTCAGGTCAGAGAATCTTCAGGATTTAGATTCTAGCTGGAGTGTGGAGTATTTTCTCTCTTCACCAATTAGCACCTTGCTCCCCACTCCCCACAAAAAGTCTCAGGAAACAAGAAGCTAAATCAAATAGAGGTAATTTTGTATGCAGGAGACATTTAGTGATCTAGAAATGTTTTTATTTGTCACAGTTGGGAGAAGGGATATGCAACTAGGAAGTAATACAACATGTACGTAAAAGCTAGGGAGACTGCTAAATATGGTACGACAGCACAGACTGCCCAACAGGGAATTAGCTGGTATGAATTATTAATGCTGTCCAGCTCCACGGCCTAGTGGTTAAGGGTGCCAGATTCCACATGGCTGACCACACAGTTTGAATCCTGGCACCAGCAGCTTGAAAAACACAGCAAGTATGCATGCTCCAAAACCCGACAGGATGGAGAAATGGAGCAGCACCCCACTGGGGTGTGCTTTCTACCCTGCTCTCTCTCTGTTTCTTTCTATCAAGCTCATGAGTGCTCTGGGGGGAAAATGTCAGTAGTAAGCTAAACGATAACCAATAATATGCATATATAATCTTACATATTCTAAAAATCCATATACCTACAATCAGTAGAAACCAGCACAAAGGCAAAGTCACGGCATAGGCTCCCAGCCACAAGTCAAACTGACTCATCAAAGGCTGACTTACTGGAATGGGAAAGCAAGCATTTGATCTATGCATAACTTCAGGAAAGTAAAGCTTCAAAGAAGCTGGATGTCCCTGGTGTCCTACAGAGCGTGATCATGAAGCATGACATACATTTGTGCCCACACCCTCTTCCTGCCTAAGCTTTCCAATACTGAGCAATTCCTGTTCCACGGAAACTCTTTAGGAAAGCGAGAAGTCAAGAGGTTGCAAGCAGCAGGGGAAATGGCGTGAGGCCGGTGTTATACCGTGCTACTAACTGTCCAGGCAGCCTACGCTGACTCACTTTCCCGCTTCGCTTTAATTCCTTCACT